TGTTTTCGTAATCTTTGTCAACAAAAAAGTAACGCATTAAGATAAACTTTTTCAGATATAGAAACTTGAGAGATATTAAGTAAGAAGACAAAGTGTATTGTGGACTCCTGAAGTTTACAATTGGACGTTATTACTTTAAAAGCGCACTAGAGTGAAAGCATTCTTGAAGGAGTTGTAGAACATCTCAATTGCAGGTTTGATTTTACAAACAACACTAGAGAAATGCAAAAACCATCGATGGCAAAAAGATTCTCCAAACTTTGTGGGGGCACAAGAAAACACTTTATAGTTTCATGTTTCCATAATCGTCTCACCATAAATGTATATGTATGATAAGCATCAACAATGGTGGTGGGTGTTTCTTCACTTCGGTGATGCTGAGGATATTCGTTTTTGAGGCTTTTGTATATTTTGATCCAATTACACCATACGTTTCTAGATGCATTTTCTACTGTCTGGATTTTTCTTTGTCAGGATGTTTATATTTTAATATAGCTGAAATGTTCATTTTAAGAAAAATTGGGATTGAGAAGTGACCATGGCATTAGTGGTAGCCATAAGTACACCAAGAACCGGCACCACATAACCCCGGATGGAGTCTCCTCCCCCCACAAATGTAGGAAATAGAAACAATTGGGTGGGTTTTGTTGGAAATTTTAAACCTAATCTAATTGGTTCAGAACATTTTCTCATAATTTTATGGAAAGTCACCGGTGAAAAAAAAATTTGCCGTTCAACCATAAATAGTTTTTTCGACTAACTATTCTCAAAAAATTAATGTTTTAAGATAAATCGACATATATTTCTTTCAAAAAAATTCATCGTTGGAAAAAAAAACCTGATGTGTTTTTCAATTCTAAAGATTATTGTAGAATTATGAGATCTATATATAATCGGATAACCAACTTTGGGATCGCATACGAGCTTTTTTAATTAAAAAAAATATGATTGGACGGTTGTAATTGCTGTGTTTTCGGATGATCTAATTCAAGTTTGCGACATCTTCATATCCTGAAGAGTGAAAGTTATGTGTTTGTATATTGTTTTAGTTGATTATTAAAGTTGTGAACCTTTGAATCATTTTTTAGGAGAGGTTTAAATATTTGATATGCTTGTACTATTATTTATTATTCATTCAAATAAAATTGTATTAATTTCATTAATACAAAGGGTTAATTAGATGAATATTATATTTCTAAACAATAATTAGCTAGGTAACATGTCTAAAAATATATTTAGGTGACTAGCAAAAGAATAAAATATGGGACGAAATTGCCCCTACAATAAAATATGGGA